TAATCTCCTTGTCCATGGCTTGGGCCCTTTCAGTGGAGGCTCCCCTTAACTTTTGGCGAACAGGCTTGTACAGTGGATCGACATTGAGGTGATGGGTAGCTACTTCCGAGTCGATGCCCTCAAGGTCCTCATGCGACCAAGCAAATATGTCCATATTACGCTTCAAAAATTCAATCAACAGGGGAGCCAGCTCTTCAGAAAGGGAAGAGCCAATGTAAATTCTTCTGTCTGGGTGCTCCTTTTCTAAGACCACAGGGATGAGTTCCTCGACTGGTTCTCCTCTTTCTGTTGCGGAGTCATCCCTTGGGTCAAGGACCTCAACTTGCAATGCTTCTTGGGGCTTCCTAGCCTTCATAGAGGATACATAGCACTCTCTGGCTGTTATTTGGTCCCCTTTGACCTCTCTGACTCCATTTAAGGTTGGAAAACGGAGAACGAGATGGTAGGTAGATGGCACAACTCTTAATGTGTTAAGAGCTGGTCGTCCTAATATGATGTTGTAGGCTGACGGGCATTCTATTACCAGGAAATTGACCATGACTGTGGAGCTTTGGGGTGTTACTCCGGCGGTGACGGGAAGTGTGATGGATCCAAGGGGATACACTTTTTCCCCTGAGAATCCAGTGAGGGGTGACCTGATTGGCTGTAGCCTCTCCCTGCTCAGGTTGAGCTTGTCATAGGCCTTTGCAAACAGGATATCTGCAGAGCTGCCACTATCTACCAGTATCCTGTGCATATGAAAGTTGGCCACCGTCATGGTGAGCACCAAGGGGTCGTCATGGGGGTGTTGGATTTCCTCCAGGTCCTTGTTTGAAAAAGATATGACCTCGTCGCCTTCCTGCTTCGGCACCTTAGATGGGCGCATCTCGTAGACATGTCTTGCCTTCCTAGCATCGGCCTTCATCGCGGAAAGTGATTCTCCCCCACCTGCTAGTCCCCCTGAGATAGTGTGGATTTCCCCCACAAGCTGCTGATCTTCTTGGTTGTGAGGTTGTGGTACTCGTACCCTTCCAGCAACGTACTGACGTAAGTGACCATACTGGATGAGGTCCTCAATTTGCCTCTTGGGGTCGTAGCAATCGTCGGTGTCATGCCCGTGGTCACGATGGAAGCGACAATACTTGTTAGGATTTCTGCGATTTAGATGAGACTTCATTTTTCCAGGCCACTTTATCGCGGGGTCATCCTGGATCTGGAATAGGATGTGTTCCACGGAAGCATTGAGGGGAGTGAAGGGTTGACGGTTCCTCTGAGGAGTAGGACCTAGCCGGTCCTTGACAGGGACTTTCTCTGTCCTGCCATATTTATTGCTGGTTTCCTTCTTATCGTCCTTCTCTCTTTTCTTCCTTTTCTCACCTGCTCTGGAAGACTCACCCCGCCTGGCCCTTGTGATGTCTTCTGCGTTTATGTACTTTTGGGCCTTGGCTAACAGCTCTGGCATGCTCTTCGGTGGGCGCTTCAGAACTGAGAAAAGGAAACTTGATGAACGGAGGCCACCCAAGAAGGCGGTCATCGTCACCTTGTCGTCAGGTTCATCAACTTGGAGTACCTCCTCGTTAAAACTAGTGAGGTAACTCCTCAGGATCTCCTCGCGGTCCTGCTTTATACTAAGCAGGTGCATAACTGACTTCTGGTGGCGACGCCCTCCTATGAAGTGTGAGACGAATGATCTGCTAAGCTTGGCAAAAGAGGTAATAGAGGCGGGGGAGAGCTTAGCAAACCACTGTCGGGCAGACCCCTTTAATGTGGTTGGGAATGCCCTGCACATGATTTCGTCTGGTACGTTGTGCAATTGCATCAAGGTCTTGTAAGTGTCGAGGTGGTCCAGTGGATCCTTTGTTCCATCAAAGGTCTCCACAGATGGCATTTTGAACTTCTGAGGGAGGGAGTAGTTTGCTACATCAGGTTTGAAAGGGGTATCAGTACGCCTTACTAGGTAGTCAACAGTTTCGGGTCCCTGTGCCTTCATGGCGTTGAAGACATCACCGAGTTGATTCTGTACCTCCTTTATCTTCTCGTCCCAATGATTGGGGGCTCCTATGGAATGATCATGGAAGTGGCTTCCATGCCCCATGCTTTGGTTTTCACCCTCATCCTCTTGGAGATAAGGGTCCTCTCCCTGGAAAGCAAGGGGAGGTGGAGGTGCAGCTCCCTCATATTGGGCTTCCCGAAGTGGGGTGCCCAATGGGGCACCCGGGCATGGAGCAACAGGGTGTGGTGCTCCTTAATGTCCAGGATGTGGAGCTCCTTGGGGTGCTCTATGTTGTGCACCTCCGTGGGGCCCTCCATGTTGTGCACCTCCGTGTGGTGCTCCACGTTGTGCACCTCCGTGTGGTGCTCCACCTTGGGGTCCTCCATGTTGTGCACCTCCGTGTGGTGCTTCTCCTTGTCCAGCAAATATGAGTTGCAGTAACTGTTGGTTTTGAGCAACCAGTTGCTGCATGGTCTCCAATATTTGTTAGGGATTCGGGGCTAGAGTATCCGGAACAGGGTTGATAGGCGGGGGATCAACCTCCTCCTCTCGTGGAGGATTGTCTTCGTGTTGGTTCATGGATTGAGTAGTGATCGCCATTAGTTAATGGATGTAATGTTCAGGAGTGAGAATTTTAATAATTCCCACAGACGGCGCCAAACTGATGATGCACAAAAATGGTTTTGCACACCACCTGTCAAATGTATGTAATAAATGCAATGAAATCAATGAGAAAATTAAAGAAAACACAATTTATAGTGGTTCGGTCAATTCAACCTACGTCCACTCTTCAATGGCTTCAGTTGCCGGGTATTTTATTGATTCAAAGGTATGGAGAATAGAGATACAAGCTTTGAGAGAGAGAATGGAGAATCAAAGAAATAGTAATCTCCGGTAGTCGGTTCATCCTCTGTAAGTCTCTGGTGGGGCGTGACATTCCTCTCATTCTTCTACCAGATTGGAGCTATTTTATAGCAGCTAAGAGATCATTGTTGTGGAGATCATGACATATCCTCAAGGCTTCTTTATCGCAGCTAAAAGATTATTCTTGGTGGAGATCACGACTTATTCTCAACGGAAGGAGGAGGTTGGGGAGCTCTTCATGAAACGTGGTCAAAGATTGGACCGTTTCCTTCGGTGGTGTAGATAAGCTTCCAGTGCTCTCCTCTTGATGACGTGCTAAGCAAAAAGTCTAACCGGTCTTGGACTTGGTGGATTTGGACCGTTTCCTTTGGTGGTGCAGATAAGCTTCTCATGCTTTCCTCTTGGTAACGTGCTAAGCAAAAAGTCTAACCGGTCTTAGACTGTCTTGGACTTGGTGGAATCAAAATTAGGTTGGGCTCTTCAACTGGAGTTAGATTTTAACACATAAATTGGACTATTTGGGTTTAACCCATCAAATAGTATCAGTGGAGTTGGATGGTGCTAATGCTCCCACTAATAGAAAAAGTGGCTTTCCCATTAACAATAAGAGTAGCACATCAACCAGCAACAATCAGACCAAACCCAGGTTGAGGAGGTCTTAGCTAATAATTGAAATGCCTTCAATTCGGACAATAGATGACACATGTTACTTACCCAAAAAAAGAAAAAGAAAAAAGAAATGACACATGTTTTCATGCAGTGTAAATCCCTTCATTAAAAGGCTCTGTTTTGACCGCATTAGTTTTAAATGATATAAACAACCTTGAATTCTCTTTTTCATCCTTTTCTTCTCGTGGGTTTCTCATCCTTTTCTTCTTGTGGGAACAGAGTGAAAACTTTGTATATTTGCATTAATTTTTTGCCCGTTACTTTGCCCTTTTTTGTTTCCATTTTTCAACATCTTTTTGGTCTTTCTACATTTTTATCCCCCGAAAGATATTAAAATTCTCACTTTATACCCTAAAAGATCATTTTTTCTACGTTGCATCCTCCTTGTTCTAAATTGCTTGCAATGTGGCCCCTCAAGCCAAAATACATCTCTCTTCCCGTTAAATCTCATTGCACATTCGAAGCACATATTTTGTCAATGGCCAAAACTGTAAAAACACATTTTCTCTTTACTTTTATTATTTGTGAATCACATACCGTGAATTCAGGTGGACTCATTATATATAAGTGATTTTTTTACCCATCAACAGTAGATAATATTTTTTTAAGAAGAAAAATTGAGAAAATAATTATTGGAGAGGACCTAGACATAACCAAGGGGAGACTAAGTTAGACATAACCACAAATGGCATGGCGCAATTTTATTTTGTTTAGTGAGAGTGAATAAAAAAATTATTTAGTGAGAGTAGTAGAATTCTTCGTTAGACATACAAATCTTTTCCATTATGTTATTGTACCAGGTCATGAAGCCAAAGAAGCAAGCCCACCTGAAAATGCCAATGTCAACCAACACTTAACAGTCCCAAAGCTTAGACAATACAACTGGTGGATCCACATGGTCATTTTCTCTCTCCTAGTCCTCTCTGGCCAATCAGCTGCCACACTCTTGGGAAGACTCTACTTTGACAAAGGTGCAAAGAGCAAATGGATGGCAACCCTAGTCCAAAACGCAGGCTTTCCTATCCTAATTCCCTTTCTCTTCCTGTCACCAACTAAACAGGGGATTGCACAAAGTAACCAAACAGAACCACCGTCTACCGTAATCCTTGTCTCCTTTTATACCTTTCTTGGTGTATTGCTAGTAGCAAATTGTACGTCATACACAATTGGGCTCCAATACCTTCCAGTTTCTACTTATTCTCTCATTTGTGCAAGTCAATTGGGCTTCAATCCTCTCTTTTCCTACTTCCTTAATGCCCAAAAATTCACTCCTTTTATAATGAACTCTTTAGTCCTTCTCACCATTTCCTCCACCCTCCTTGTTTTCCAATAAAACATCAAAAGGGAAGTACGTTATTGGGTTCATGTGCACTGTTGCTACATCTGGTGGTTATTCATTGAACCTCTCTATAACCAAACTCGCCTTTCGAAAAATTCTTAGATGGGAAACTACACAGTGGTCATGGACAAAATAATCTACCAATCTCTGGTGGCGATGTGCGCGATCCTAGTGGGGCTTTTCGTTAGCGGGGAATGGAGGAATTTGAGAAGAGAGATGAGGGAATATGAACTTGGAAATGTATCGTACATAATGAACTTGGTATGGACTGCTGTGACATGGCAAGTGTTTAGCATTGGAGCTGTTGGGCTGATTTTTAAGGTCTCTTCACTGTTCTCCAATGTCATAAGTACCTTGGGTTTGCCCATTGTTCCGGTTCTTGCAGTGTTCATTTTCCATGACAAGATGAGTGGAGTGAAGGTGATTGCAATGTTGTTGGCCATTTGGGGTTTTGCATCTTATATCTATCAGCATTATCTCGATGATTTGGAATTGAAAGATGAAAGTAGAATCGTTAATGAAGTTTCTTTAGTTGAAAAACTTTAGGTACCATTTGACAACCCTGCTTACATTTATCTTTAATTTTTTGCTTATTTGAAAAATTTGTTAAGTATAGCTTTTTTTGCAAATTATTTTTCTTTTTTGTTCAACTCTTCGTATTCTTTTAAGCATAATTGCATGCATACTAGTTTTTATTTTTGGTGAACCTTGGCAGCACGAGTGAATTTTATTGATTCAAGAAAAAGAATTACTCCTAACTAGGGGGGACGTATGTACCATACCCCTCGATACAATCTAATTATACAGTTCAAATTTAGAAATAATGGAAAGGAAAGAATGCATGCTTAGTACAATAAAAGAATAAAAATAAAACCTCAAAGAATCCTAAGCATGCTGCCTTTAAATTCGAAATTGGAAAGTACTCCTCTGATGTTGTGTAGTAGCTGTTAGAAAATAAATCTGCTCTAGAATTTTTGTGCTGGCAGTGACCAGATATGATCGGAAGACAGAAAAACCGCTCAACAGTCACGTGAACAGTGGAAACTTCAGACCTGTGTGAACTGTGGAGCTAACTGAAAAGTCCATCCAGTGGCGTGGACAATGCAGAAAGAGGGAGAAAGATCTGATCCAAAAGGTGCCTAAATTTCCAAGAGGGAGAAAGATGTTGATGAATCATATCCACTAAGAGTTGAGAATCAGTCTCAATAAAAATGGGGTAGAGCTCTAATCCAAACTGAAGCAGCAAGTGCAGCCCATCCAGTAGAGCTTTGATCTCTGCTTTGATATTGGTGCTGAGCCCATAAAAGTAAGAGCCGGCTAAGATCAGTTGGCCCCATTGATTTCTCAAAACAGCCCCACCTCCAGGTAGACCTGGATTGCCCTTTGAAGAGTCATCTGTGTTCAACTTCAACCACCCCTCTGCTGGGCACTCCCATTTAATCCACCTTACCAACACATGGAGTTGTCTTAAAGGAGGAACATGCAAGGAAAGCAAGAGAGCTTGAGCTTGGGCAGTATCCATAGATCTTGGCCTTGCATTATATGCTTGTAGCTTCCAAAAATGTAGAACAAAATTAAACACAGCAGTGGGGTTCTATTGATGACCTTCAAACAGCCTTCTGCACCTCTCTCTCCAAAGCTGCCAGAAGACCAGAAGGGGTAAGCCTCTCATTAAAGAGTGATAGAGTGATGATAGTTTGAATATTCTGAGCAATCTTTTGAACCGAGTTAGAGGAGCCTCCTTATCTATTAATTGCAAGCCAAATAGATTTGACAGCTTATACCAAACAGATTTCGCAAAGACACAATCGCAGAACACGTGCCGGACTGATTCAGCTTCGTTTCAGCATAACACACATCTACTGACCGTTGATATCCCCTTGTTTCTAAAAGTGCAATACATGAATGTATGGGTAAAATATTGTAATAGTCCTCCAAATATGCTTATTTTTGTTTTCATTCTTCTAATTGTGTTATTTAGTTCATCAAGTTTACAGTTTGTGCTATTTTAGTCAAATAGAAATTGGCGGTTCATGCTAGCTGACAGAGGTGTTCACATGAGCATAACGGTCAATTTGTGTTGTGAACATGCAATATAGTGAACAATTAAGAAAGAGAAATCGAGAAAATAAAAACACAAGATTTACGTAGTTTGGTAGAAATCTTACTTACGTCCACAAGAATGATTTTTCTTTGATTATCATCAGAATCCAAAAGGTTACAACATATTTGTAGGCATCAGTTAATAACCCTAATCTTGGTCCAGCTAGAAAACAGTCCTAGTAAATCTGATACAATAATTCAGGATAAACTTCTTAGATTACCCAATCTTGGTGAAACTCCTCTACCAGATGTACATTGAAAACCCCGAATGTATCCATCTTTGCTGCGGGGTATTCCCTGCATCCCCCAACCTATTATTCAACCCCGACAACCAAACAGTAATATTGCCCATTGACTTATTGAATATGGACCTCTCATTATTCCCAACAATCTCCACCTTGACAAATAATTTATCACTTTGGAAAAGTACCATAACTTATCTTTACCGTGAACCCAAATGTTGGGGATGATCATGACTCAGAAATATTAACAAATTTCAAGAAATACTTGAATCTGTTTGAAGGAATTTGCTATGTCGATATATTAGCTACATTCTCGAAAGAATGCTTAATTTCTAGTACCATCTCCCTAGTTGCAATTAACTCTCTCAGGTTTTGTCCTAGTATAACACACTTGATGCTTTTTCAAATAAATGACACCCTGACTATCACAATGCACCAGAACTCCTCCTTACTCTAAACCAAGCTCTTTAACCAACCATTTCACCTGCAACACGCCTCAGTCACTACCATGTGTTCTGCTTCAGTTGAAGATAGAGTCACTAATGATTATAACATGAATCTATAACAAATAGACCCTCCTGCAATCGTAAACACATACCCTACAGTAGTCCTGTTGTTATTCAAATCCCCAGCATAATCGACATCTATATACCACACAATTGAAATTGAATCATCCTGTTTTGCAAACACAATACTTTTGTTTGCTTTACCAATCAAACATCTAAAACCCACTTGAATGTCTTCCAATGCACTCTACTCGGATTAGTTATGTACTTGCTGATAATGCTAGCATCATGTGCTAAATCCGGTCTAGTACAAATCATTGCGTACATCTAGCAACCCACAACATTAACATAAGACACCTTTGACATATCCTGAATTTCTTCATGCGTCTTTGGACAATGACCTGCATGTAACCTGAAGTGATTCACCAATGGAGTTTATGACATAGTATTTCTAAGACAACCACAACTTTCCTGCCACTCGATCTCTACACATCTCCATATCAAATATCTTCCTAATAGCACCCAAATCTTTCATGCCAAACTCAATCCTTAACAAGAATTTCAATTTGTCAACCTTAGTCACCCTCTTTGCAGCAATTAACATATCATCAATTTATAGGAACAGAAATATATGAGAACCATACCCAAGACGTCTAACATAAGCACAACAATCATACTCACAAATCTGAAGCATATAGGAATTAACCTTTTGTACCACTGAGGTAAAAGCAAAAAAAAGAATAAAAAAAAAGAGTGGAACGAGGTTACAGAATTTCTAAAGAATTGCAAATCAAGCAAAGCTCAATGAGTGCTAGAGCGCTCCTTGTCTTTCAACAAATCCCCGACAATGGCATCAAAAAATAACTACAGCTTAAATAGTGTATCACGCGTAGGTTGTGCGAAGTAATAAATATTCTGAGAAATCCAAGGTTGTATCTCAAGGAATTGTGTAAACTTAGAATGCAAAGTAAAAATAATAGAAAATTGCTTTGGCAGTTGTTTGTTCAAAAAAAAACAGAAATTTTTTGGTTTAGAAATAGGAATTTGAAATATTAAAGTATCGGGGATGTCTTTTCAATTTTACACGGCAATTATTATAATTCAATTTTTGAACTCAATTGAAAATCAGCTGATGAGTGATTACAATTAGAATATTTAGCAGTTATAATATTGAAAAAATTCACAAGTACAATTAATATATTATTTAGACAAACCTAGATATGTAATTATAAATCATAAGTATTCACCGTGCCTGGAGTCTATGGTGAATCAAGTTATCTAACAACTAAAACCTATTTTTATCATAAAAAATAAATCAAATATTTTTATAAAAATTCTAATTTATTAATTCAAGCATGAAAAATCAGTTATTTGAGTCACAAGGAGTCTCAAACATTTGATGTACGGGGAACAACGAATCAATAAATTATACAAAATAAAAACTTTACTAAAAGACAAGTATTAAATTTAAAGAATAAATTATACGTTAAAAGAACATTGTATCAAAAATAATATCATGCTTTATTGAAAGTATATCCCCTAACTTTAGTTAGAGATTTAGCAATCCATAAGTAAATCAGAACAAAAGCTATATAGGAGTGCTAAGAGCAAAATGAATACAAAGCAAGGCATACACCCCTTTATATAGGATTTAGGAACCAAAAACCTAGTTTACATCAAAGTCTAAGGCAATTGGCCAACATTCATCATCACGTGGATGCAAGTTTTCAACCATCCGAACGCACCTTGTAGTCTTGGCCTTTCTATCCATCGCATCTGGACGCGTGTTTTAGTCCGTCCAGATGCACTTGGCAGTGTCTCTCTCATGCATTCACTGGAAGTTCTGTCTGAATACCCTTTGCTTTTTCGTCCAGATGCATATCTTCAACTTTTATCATTCATCTACTATTAACTCCATCCAGGTACACTTGATTCACCGTCCGAACGAGTGAAACAGAAGCTCCTTTTTGCCTCCTTACTTTGGATCTCTTCTGTTTTTATATTGTCCTTCAAATAATTAATTCTACCAATTTACCTACAAAAAAAAAAACACTACAAAAAGAAGATGATATCCAAAACTCAATCAATTCAACACAATTAATGCATTGCTCGATATAATTAGCCAACTAAAACTAAATAAATCATGCAATATTTCATGGCAAATCATTATCCTCTATACCTTGGTAACAAAGATCATTGCTAAGTTAGATTTAGTTATAATTTAAGCTTGTAACCATTTTCATTACAAATTGACAACTGTAAATCAACTTGATGTGAATACAGATCCAAAAATCAATAATAGATCGAGCTGCTTAATTTCTCTCTCTGTCTCTCTCTCTTAGTCTTACTCTTAATGTCACTCTCACTCACTCACTCGCTCACTCTCTCTCTCTCTCTCTCTCTCTCTCTCTCTCTCTCTCTCTCTCTGAGTGTGTGGTTTCTATCATTTGGAAAATAAAAATTGTAAACAAATTCATTTGAAAAACCAAAATTGAAATCAAATAGAGTGGGAAATTAAAAAATTCGAAGAACTTACATAGCCACTGATCCTCTATGTCCCATACTCTCCCTATGCTTTTTGTGTGTGCAACCTAAAGGCACTGGATATACAAAAAAGAAATCCCTCAAATTAAACAAGAGTAAGGAGATGAGCAGATAGTGAGGGATAAAGAATTACCTTGAAATGTCAATGGCGTGGTAGATGCTGGTGGTGGCAGTTGATGGCTTCGCTAATGAGGCGATCGCTGTGGTGGTTGATGACGGTGGTTGGGTTTGCGATTGTTGGTAAATGGTGTCAATGGCAGGGCTTCTGTTTCACAGAGGGCTGGTCTAGGTAGCATAGCCGCTATAGTGAGATGGGGAGACATGAGAGATATAAGGGGAGATGTGGTGACACTAAGAATTTTGGTGGTTGTTTTAGTGGTCCATTGGGGGAGAGGAGGAATGGAAAAGAGAGAGAGAATGAGAGAGAGAAGGTCTGTTGAAGGAGGAGAAAAGAATGGGGGAGAGAGAAAGGAGGTGAGCTAGATATTAGGTAGAGATGGGGAGGGAGGAAAGAGAAATGTGCATGATTGAAGGACTCTAAAAAAACTTACGGGCGGGAAAAATGTTTCACTGATCAATTTTGATCATTGGATCAATAATCTAAACCGCGAAAAGTTCAAAACAAATTAAGGATTTGAAATCCTTTATCCTTTAATATATAGATG